AAAAAATGGTTGGGTTAGCCGGTTTGGCGTTCCGGTAAAAGCTTTCGGTAAATTACCGGATATATAACGTATTTCCGGCAAATTTGTTGCGAGCGTTTAAAAAAAGGCCCGGCAAAAAACCAAAAAATAAAAAACCAAAAATTAAAAAAAGGAAAAGGATTACTTCGAAGTAAAAGCTTTGTTAAAATATAAAAGGCCTTTGCAAAAACGAAAATATTTGGTTAAATAAATAAATTATAACGAATCGGAAAATTTGTAAATTTTTAAAAAGGATATTACGAAAAAAATTGTTTAAACGTATAAAGCAAATTTATTAAAAGCAAGCTTATAAAATAAGGAAAATATCGAATTTTAGCGGGTAAATACCCGGAAAAAACGGGGGTATTATAGGAAAGGAATAATAAAGGTTAAAAAAATGGCCCAAAAAAATATTTTAAACGTGCCGAACCGGTTGGCCACCGGGGAAAAACGTAAAAAAATCCGTAAACGGTTTGTAATAACCGTAAAATATCGTACTTTATAAATAAAAAATTAAGTAAAAACGGTATAATACGGGAAACGCCCCAAATTAATAGTGCAATATATTTAAATTCCAAAGGATATGCAAAGTGTAATACATTTTGGAAAGCCCGTAAAGGGTATGCTTAGCGCAATACGCTAAAGCAATTACCGCATTTTAAACGTACGTTATAATAAAAAATACCATTGTTTGCCCGAAAAGGAAATGGAAAAATTTTTAAATGGTATAGCGAACGGGCTTAAGCGTTCGGGTAACGGTAAATGCATGTTAGCAATATTTAAACCCATTGGGGGGGCAAAAAAAAGCATTTTAAAATTATTTATTGGGGCATTAAAGCTTAATTGGTAAATATAAATACCGGAATTTCGCAATATTGCAAAAGCAATATAATAAAAGGAAATTATGGTTTTAATTGTAATAAATTAACGAAAAAAATTTAAAATTAATTATGTTTCGAAAAAGGGATATTAATAATTAATTAAAAAAACATGTAAAAAAATTAATTAAATGCCGTATTTAAAAGAATTAAAATTTCCGGAAATTACGTTCTTTTTACTAGCGCTACAATTGTTACCGCTAAAATTATCGGCGCCGAAAGCGGCATTTCCCGGCGTTAATACGAACGTTGCACCCTTACGGGAAGCCGCGCGGTTATAAGCTTAAATATCCAAATGCGTTGCAATTGTAACAAAATTAACGGCAATGTTATTAAAAAAAGTAACCATACCTTTTTCGAAATGCTTAAAAAACGCTTTTACCTTATTAAAAAAATTATTAATGCTAGCTAAAGCTTAAATTTGCTTTTTCGTTTAAACGGGGATGGCGTAAAGTTATTAAAAAATATTTTAAATAATTTTTAATATTGCAGCGCTAGCAATTTTGCGCTAAATGCGCTTTTGGATAACGGCTTAACGTTTATAGCGCGCAAATTGTTCGGCCGATATGGTATAAAAGGATTTGGCTTTTTGGATAACTTTGCAAGCGCGAAATTAAACTTTAATAAACTTTTTAAAAAGCTTCGGTATCGTTTTAAAAAATCGCTTGTAAACGGTATTTAAAATTTTGTAAAAATTTTGGGCCATTTTCCAAAACCATTTAAAAAGTTTAATGCAAGCTTTATTGCTAACCACGTTTTTGCAATAAATGCATTTAAAAAACCCCGTACAATTATCGAAGCATATCGGCATACGGGGGTTAACGGCATAATTTTAATATATTTAACAACCAAAATAGCGGTTATAAAATACCGTACGTTCCGTATAATTGTTTTTAAAAAAAGGCAAATAAATAAAGTTTTAATTACCATTTTATTAAAAATCGATAACCTTTTGCAACGGAAACGCGTTGCAAATATTTATATAAAGCGAAAAAAAAGCAATGTTCGTTTCGGGGGCAAATTTATTGGAATTAAAATCGTTGCGGCGGTATTTATCGCGCGTTTTACGCTTTTTTTCGGCGAAAATCTTTTTGCTGCAATGGTTAAAGCTTGCTAAAAGGTTACCGGCAAAACGTTTGCGGGAATTTTAAAAGGCTGCAAGCGCAAAAAGGCCCGATAAACCCGCGGCATTTAAAAAATTTACCAAAAGGTTACCGGCGGGGCGATTATTAAAAATTTAAAAGATTAAAAATTTCGGCAAATCCGAATCCGGGTTTAATTAAATTACGATAATTAGGAAAAATACCGGAAGGTTGTTAAAAAAGGCTAACGGGCCGGTTAAAACCGAAAAACCCGAAGCGAATACCCAAAAAAACATTATTTTTTTACGTAATTGGGTACGAAAAATAACATTTGCAATTACCGGTTAAATTTAAATGTTTAAAAGGAACGGCCAAATACCGATTATTTACGGTTACAATCGTTAAAATTATTAAAATGGTTATTAAATGCATAAAAAGGAAAAAAAAGGGCTTGCAATTTCGAGCGGGAAAAAAAGCCTTTTATATGCCAATACGAATTTATTTTTTCAAATGCTACAAAGCTTTATAGCCGGTTTTTTTAAGCATTGCCGGGCATTGGGGCGGTTTAGCGGGATACCGTTAATTACCGGTTACTTACGGAATCGCACGCGCGGTACAAGCGGTTTGGGATAAGCCGTATCGGGAAAGGGCAATATGTTAAAAGCACGGGCAAAACCGCCCGGTAAAAAGCGGGGGGCGTTAAAAAAACGGGCGAAACCGCCCGGTAAAAAAGGAAAAAAGGGGCGTTAGCAATTAGCCGGGCACAAACTTTTTCGGGAATATGCCGGCAAATTACCGGTATCGCGGCCAAAGCATAATGGCAAAATTAAAAAATAAAATAAAGCTTAAATTGCACAAAGGCGTTTGGAACGCGGAGGATTTAAAAAACCAACCCCGCGTGCCCGAAAGGGTACGAAAGAAGGGAAAGTTAAAAAAGGAACAATTTTTGTTGGAAATAGCACTTTTGGTAGGAAATTTACGGAGGCCTAACAAAGGAAACACCGCATCCGGCCCGTAACCCGGTAACCACCCGCTTTTGCACCGATTAACCCTTAACATTTCCTTGCTTTTTACGTTACGGGCCTTTCGAATAAAAACATAACGTATTTTTTAAACAATTTTTTTCGTTTTTTTATCGTTAACAAAGGAAGCGTTTAAAGCAAAAAGCAAGTAATTAAATTTTAAAACGTTTTTTAACCGGATGCAATAAAATTTCGACCTTTTTAAATACAAAAAGGTATGGTCCGTTGCTTTTAAATGCTTTTTATTTAAATTTGTAAAATATTTGGAAAGTTTTGCGCTTGCAAAAGCAACGTTTGGGCGGATAGTAATGGCCGTATAAAGTATAAACCCGGTTTTTTTTTGCATGGCCAAAACTTTAACGGATATTGTTACCCCCAAATTTTTTTTAAGCGTTTAGTTAAACAAAAAGGAACGTTTTACGCTTTTATTTCCAAAGTTAAAGGTATTAACGATTTTATCGATATAAAAATCGTAATGCAAAGTTATTATCCGTACTTTTTTTATCCTTTACGATTTAAATTCCGAAAATTTTTTTAAGTAATCCTTTTTTTATTTTGTATTTTTTTTAAAACCGTTTAATACTTTCGCTGCCATTTTTAAATGCGTAAAATGGTTAAAAATAATTATGTCGTTAACGTACAAAAGGAAAAAAACTTTACGTTTTATGCTTATAAATAAATAAAGCTTTTCCGTTAACGGGATAAGCTTTAATTTTTTAAAGGTTTTTTTAAAAGTTAAATATTATAATTTCGGTAAATTCCGTAACCCGTATAAGGCTTTTTTAAGCTAAATTACAAACCTTTTTCGGTAATACTTAAAAAAGAACTTTACGTAAACGGGTATATAATTATTGCTAATTTTTGCGTAAAAAAAAGCTTTATTAACGTTAATTTAATGCGTTTCGAAATTAAAATAAGCTATAATTGTTATTATAATTTTAAAACTTTTAATTGCAAGCGTAGCAATGTAAATTTTTTCCAAACCGTTAAATTATTAATTATTTTTAATTACCGCGCGGAATTTATAATCCGTAACGTAACCGTTTTCGTTAAATTTGTAAATAAATATTTAAGCAATATTAATAGCTTTATTATTAAATAAATTTTTCGAAATTTTTTTCCAAATTTTTTTTTAATAGCTTGTTAATTTCCCCGAAAGCAAATTATTTAAAAAAAAGTTTATGCGGGTGCGTATTAAACTTTTATTAAAATTTTAGAATTTATTGTAATTCGTTTCGGTATAACCGTTTGTTTTTTTAAAAGCTATTACGTTTTAATATTTTCGTTACGGCAATTGCAATTATTTCGTAAACCGGGCAATGGCTAAAATTACTTTTTTTAATTACCATTTATTAATTAAATAAATACGTATTAAAAAAAACTCGTTAATTTTCGTTTATTAAGCTTGCTTCAAAAGCAACGTTTTTAATTTCCGATTTAAAAGCGTTAAACGTTATTGCTAAACCGTAATAAAAAATAGCGTTGTTAAAATTATTGCATCGTTTGCTTTCCTTTTTTTTTTTTCCTTTTTTTTTTTTTGCGGCCGTACGCGTTGCGGCGCGGATTGCTTTAAACGTAGCTATCGGTAAATCCGGTAAAAGCGCGTTAAAAAAAAAGGCTTTAAGCAAAAGTAAAAAGCCCGTCCCTTTGCGGGATTGGCTTTTGCTTTTTTTAACCAGAAGAAAAAGGGAAAACGGCGTTTTTTGCTTGTTTGGGTTTGCTTTAAACAAATTTTTAAAAATTTTAAACGCTTTTGGTATTGCAATTAAAAGCGCCGTAAAAGTACCGCTTGTAATTGCAATTAGCATATCCGGTTTTGGGGTAAGCAAAAACCGGTTTGTTACTTTATAAAATAAAATAAGCTTTAACGGTTTTAAAGGTTATTTTTTAAACTCGTCGTTATTTTTACCTTTTACCGGCGGAAAGTTATTGCTTTTTCCGGGCCGTATAAAGCCGTAATACGAATTGCCCATACGTAAAAAGCCCGTATTACGCATTTGCTTTGCTTTATAACCATTTTTTAAAGCATTTAAAATTAAAAATTTGTACGCGTTTGGATCCGGCCCGTTAATTAAATTTTTTGCGGTTTTAGCTTTTGTAATTACAACAAAACCTGGCTTTTTTACCTTTAATTTTTAATTTTAATGCTTGGTAACGGAAATAAATGCTTAAAGCTTTTCCGGTTAAAAAAGCTCCAGCGCATTAGCAATTCTTTTTTGGGTTGCAAACGGGTTTTCCGTTTCGTTGTATTTAACCAGCTGTTACAATTAAGCCTTTGCTCCTAAAGTAAAGCACCAAAAGAGTAACAAACAATAGCACGTAATTTAACAAATTAAAGGGATTTACAAAGTAACTTGGGTGCGGTTTAAATGCTTGTTCCAAAGGTTACTTAAAAATTAACTAAAATTTAACTAATGCCAAAGCCTTAATTAAAAACTACTTAGGACAAAAGGAAACCCTTTCCTTTTTATACCTTAATGCTTACTTTTTTGGGGTTATGGATTAATTGGCTTATTAAGCCAACTTTGTAAGCCTTTTTAAGCTTCCTTTGGATTAGTAACTTACTTTTTTTGCTTTTTTAATCCATTAATCCCAAATAGTTACGTAACCCTTTACCTTTTGCGGGGGTTTTCGTGCCGTGCCACCCCTTTTTTTTGGGTAAAAGTGGTTATTGGTCGTAACATTAAGTCCTTCCTTTAATGGCCAAGCCCTTTTAGCCACGTATTACTGTTTTTTTTGCCTTTTTGTTAATTGTAAGTACTTTTTTTCCTTATTGTTTAACCGTTCCCTTTTTTTAACAAAATGTTCGGGCAAATCCAAAAACGTCCGGTTCGAAAAACTATCCAACGGTACGCTTTGCTATTTGCCGTTTTTAATTTTTTAATTTTAATGCCTTTTTATTTTGCTTGTAAAGCCGTTGGTTTTTTTTTTATTAAATATTTTCGAAAAATTCTTTTTATTGTACCGAATGCGTCCGTTTGGGGCGTGCTTGGTCCAACGTTTTAAAGTTTTTTTTTAATTAATTGCGCAAAATTGCTAAGCAACATTCTAAGCTAAACGCCGAATTTGTTGTTACCGAACGATTTCGCCGTTAAGCTAAAAAGTTAATGCGTGCTAAAAGCAATTGGGTTTAGCATTTGCGCATTTAAAAAAACCTATAATTTAAAAAAATAATGCGCGCTATTTGTTGCGGTATCGATAATATAAAGTAGCTAAAGCGTATTAAGCAAAAGGAAATTCCACAAGCCGTTGCTTTAGCAGTAACTGGTCCCGCTTTTTAGCTTTAACTTAACTTCCTTCCTTTATTTCTTAAGTGGGTAACGTTAAGGGTTAATTTTAACCTTAACCCGCTGGCCTTTTTTTAATTTAGTAAATTGTAATTCCTTTAACAATTCCTTTTGGTCGTATAGCGCAATGGTAACGCGTTCGCTTTTATAGCGGGAGGTTTTAAGTTCGATTCCCGGTGCAACCTTCCGAAATTAAATCAACGATGTCGGCTTCGGCCGGCGTCGTTAATTTAGCCTCGTTCTTTTTTTTTTTTTTTGCTAATTCCGAAAGCCCAAAGTTTGGTATCGATTTTAAATTGCTTGCGTTTTTTTAATTTAATAAGTTATAATTCCTTTAACAATTTTTACAAATTGTATAGCGCAATGGTAACGCATTTATTTTTGTAGCAAAAAAATTTGGGTTTAATTCCCGGTACAACCTTAAATTTTTTTCGTTTAACTTTTGGTTAGCGAAAAAAGTTTTGCTTTTTTTTTTTTGCTTAAGCTTGCCAGCTTATCCCTTAAATATGCTATTAGGTCCTTTTCCTTTTGCTTTTCCAAATTTCTCCAAATTTAAAGCGTTTTACAAGCTTTAAGGCTATTATTAACTTTTTTTTAAATAATACCTTTGCAAAGCCTTTTGGCAATTCTTAAAATTTGTTGCGTTTTTTTATATATTATGCTTATTCTTTTATTTTTCCCACTTAATAAAGTATTGCTTTTTGCAATAATGCGTTCGTTTGTTAAAAATGGCCTTAACTTCCCATTTTTGGTTAAGGTTAATTTCCATTAATTCGGTGCTTTTAAAGCCCGAAAACGCTAGCTTTAGCAAAAAAACGTAAAAAACCGGGTAAATGCGCATGGTTAATAGTAATTGAAATTCGTAATTAATTAAAAAAATAATACAAATAACTCGAAAAAGTTCCCATTTGTTACGGTACGCGTTGGGGCACTTGGGGAAGAACTTAAGGCCGCACTTTTAGCGCGCCAACGTTACGCTTACAAAACCGCGACAAAACGCCAGGGACGCTTTGCCCAAATAGCTTCCTTTTCGTGCAACAACAAAGCCTTTTTTATAACAATAAAGTGTAAGCCGTAGCAATTTCCTTTTTTTGCCAATAACTTTGTAAAACGGTAGCATACCTTTTTGCTTACAATTAACCAACGTTAATACTTACCTTAAATCCTGCCGTATAATTTCGGGAAAATACTTTTACTTTTTAATTTAGCTTTTTTAACCAAACGATTGTTAAAAGCACGGGCGAAACCGCCCGGCAAAAAGCGGGAAGCGTTAAATGCACGGGCAAAACC